TCAAAGCCAAGGAATGTATAGAAGAGCTGATGAGTTTCCAAGATCTAGGTTTATGCTCTATGGTGGCCAAATAAACAAACCAACCACAAAATCCCAAAATAATAACTACAAGTACTCTGTTTTGGCATCAGTACTATACGACAATAAAAGTAAAAAGATAGTTCAGTAACCCGAAAGAAGATAATAAAAAAAAAGAAGAAAAGCAAATAACCTGTCTAGCTGGGTTTTTCTGATTCCTAACAGATTTTTAATGGAAAACTGCATTGGTATTGCAATAACATGATTTCAGATAATTGAAGTTGCCTTAATTTCAAAAGCAGGCCATTTCTCAGTCATTTTTCTGGGTTACTGATGTTACCATTGTATGAACCCCTATGATGCTGTGATTATTATTTACAGTGTCAGAAATTTTCTAAGCAGAGCCAGCCCTTTATAAGATACAAACCAGAGTTGCCCCAAGAGCTTTACAGGAAAAATCGTCCACTCTCTCCCTCTACAGCATCATTCATTAACTCGCCAACAGACTTACAAGTAGATAGAGAAACAACATGTGATACGGTCCCTGACTTAAAGAAAAATCTCATGGGCAACTTATAAGGAAACTAAATATTCAAGTGCCAGTGTGTGGACTACCAGCAACCATGTACCCTTTAAGACAAATTTATTCAACAATACTATGTTAAATATTTTGAGGGACACCAAAAAATAACATAAAATACAGAAGGTGCCAAAAAAATGTATACACATTTTAAGAAAGGAAAAAACTGTAATAAAATTGTAATACTCAATATATGCCGATAACAAAAGACGAGTACAAGTCATATATATATATATATATATATATACACATTTTTGGGGGGCACTCTAGTTATATGACATTTAAGGGGAAGGGAAATTGGAAGACAATTTTATAAACCCATGAGATAGCAATATGTAATGGAAAAGAGACAGGCTCTGCATTTGGATACACCAACCCAGGTTGAAATTCAGACCTACATGCTACTTGTCAGTGTATCTTCTGTTTTTTTAATCTATAAAATGGAAATAATATTACCTACTTTCAAGGTTGTTATGAGAATTAACAGGATGATTTGACACAGAATGGAAATAATTTTTTGTGTTATGAAAAATATTTTTCAACTTCCTTCTGTAATTCTAAACAGAACAAATTCAGCCCTTATTGAATGGGCCAGGAGATGGGAGTAAAGCATGAACATTGAGAGAATAAATTTGCTTTTGCAAGAGAAGGGAGAGCTAGAGAGTGACCCTATATCTGTGTGTGTGGGTGGGGTGGGGTGGAGATTATGTCCAGATAACTTAGAATCATATTGAAAAGAGCTTTGAAAGCCAGATAAGGAGTTTGTACTTGAGGCAGTAAGCAGTTAAGAGCTTTATGAAGGTTTTAGAAAGAACACTTAATGATGAAGATTTTGTCTAAAGAATTAACTTTGTGTTATGAAAACATTGTGATAATGGAGCCATACTGGAAATAGAAGAAACTACTTTAAAAAATTCTGAGTATATTAAGTGTCAGTTACTGTCCTAGAGGGGGGATGGAGCATGAAAAATAAAAAAAATTAGACAATACTTGCTGTCCTCATGGCACTTTCATTCTAGAGAAAGAATCAGACAATAGACAAGATAAGTAAGTAAAATATGTTCTATGGTAGTTAATGATAACTGCTACGTAGCAAAATAAAGCAGAGAAAGCGGATAGGAAGTGTCAGTGTTGGGTGTGGCGAGGATGAGATTCAATTGGTATAAAGTGGACATGGAAGGCCTGACTGAAGGGATATTTGAGGAAAGACTAGAAAAAAATTGGGGAAACAAACAAATCAAGAGCAAACAATAAGTCAAAGACTTTGAGGGGGAGAGTGCCTGGATGTTTGTGGGAAAGTGGCCAGAGATGAGAAATGGTGTGGAGTGAAAACAGTGGGGCCCACAGAGGAAACTCTGGCTCAGTTATGCAGGAACTTACAATTTTCTCTTACCTGCGGTACTTTTCTTCCCAGAACTTACATTACCTGACATTGTATTACATGTCTACCTTTTTATTGATTTCCTACCTCTTTCTCCCTCACAAGGAAATAAGCTCTATAGAGGTAGGACTTTGTTTCTTCACCATAACAGTGTCTGACTCAAACTGGGAATCAATTTTATTGAATAAGCTAATGAATAAAAGGGAGGAGCCTAGAACATGATGTTAACTATGAAAGAGTGAAAACGGAAAGGGCCTTTGAGTTGGAAAGGAAGCCATTTACTGGTTTGTTCACCTTATGGTTCCTTGATAATAATAAATGATTGGGGGTGGGGGTGGGGGTGGGCATTGAGACACAAGGAAATAGAAGGAAAGAAATCAGATAAAGTGATATCAACCACTTCTTAAGCTTCCTTAACAATTGAATTAAGTTTGCACAGCTGATTGTGATATGTTCTTTTTCCTTTCCCTAACTTATGTATGATGTATTTACCCTCTTAAATCGATACTTCACAAAACTGAGTATATGGTATTATGCTGATCCATTGCATTCCTTGGAGAACTGACAAATCCCAATTTGCTCATTGTTAACATGATTTTAATTGAGGTATTGAAAACCTCATGTTAAGACTTAACTATAATTTCATTTGCTGTGTGGGAGGTGTTGTCTAGTTCATCACTGAGGTAAAATCTGAGGAAAAAAGATATCCCCAAACTGTAGAATATGAAGCACAGTTAAGCCTAAGTGCCTGGAGAACATTTGTATAATGAAATGAAATAATATATGTGAAAAAGCTTTGTAAGTAGTGTCAAAATATACAAATAATGTCACTGAAAAGACAACTACATGTGTCATGTCTCAGCTTGAAAAAAATTCAGACCTTCAAAGCTATTATAAAAGAAGAGAACATCCTACGAACTCAGATATTTATTTGCACGGGGTTATTTAAAAGGAAATACTGTAGGCTGTGAGTTGTTTATCAAAATCTTTTAAACATCTCTGTGCCAAAGAATAAAGAAAATACGGGAAAGGAAAAGAAAAGAAGAAAATCTCCTCTGCAATAGAGATGGTAAAGCTTTATATAAGTAACATTTTTGGGGTGAGGGGACATATCTCATGGAAACAGTCTTCACAATGCAAAGCTCAAAGCAGAGAACTAAACAATAAAAGGCAAAAAATAATTTCATGAGACTGTGTTAATAATATCACCAACAAAAGTTCCCTGCTGGGAGTGCTCTCATTTTTATTAATCTTGGGCACTGCCATCTTGTCTGATTTTCACCATAGGAAAGATTTTCACCAAAGAAAATGAACACATCCTGAGCAGGATCATCATGGATTATAACAGGGTGGTTATAACTTAAGGCATTGCATAGTTTCTCTTGTGAGCTTAATCTGTGCTTGCTGTTAACTATTGTGGGAAATAGTCCATGCTGCTAATAAACGAGTCAAAAATATTTAGTTCAAAGTTAGAGACACTTAAACTATGTAGATTATCCTTACATATCAGCACATCATAAGAAAACTTTGAATTTTATGATACATTAGAAATAAATAAGACATTTAAGGTCATTTTGCAAAATGAACTTTTAAAAAATATGTGCATTTTATTTACTTCCTGGAACATGAATTTATTTACAGCATAAGTACAAAAATATTTCGATGTGGACAGAAGTAGCTTAGACTCAGTTTTTTTTTAATTTTCCCCTACCTACAAAGCTTTTCTTTCTCTTGATTTGGGTAAAACAGAAAATAGCTATGCTGGATAGCCTCACAGTTCTTTCATTGCTAGGCTACATGTGTGCCCATTTAACCTGCTTCCTGACAGCATAGTTTCCAGAATGCCATGTAAGATATATTTCCTTATTTTCTGGTAGAGGAGAAAAGGAGGGTTGATAGCCTCTCCTTCCCTTGTTTGTTGAGCAGGGTAGAGGGGGCGTGAAAGACAAATACATGCATAATGGTAAGCTCCAGGAAACTGACAGCTCCACACCTTCCACCAGGTAATGGAAGTGGGGAACGCGGTAGTGTCTTAGTGTATGTTCAGGGGTCTTCAGATCAGGAGCAGACAGGAGCTTTTGCTTCACCCCTGCCTTCGCTGTTTACCTTTTCTACTGCCTGTCTCCCACACCTTCTCACAGATTTACAAAATACATAATATAGGGAGCATTCTGGGTGTGTTTTCCTGAAGGACATTCTCTCTCTCTCTCTCTCTCTCTCTCTCTCTCTCTCTAAGAAATACATTCTCAAAATATAAGTTCCTTTTGTGTAAGCCTTGTAAAATGGGTCTTAAAAGTATTCCTAAAGTGATGACCTGGCTGCTAAATGACACATCCACCCCCCAGCTCTATCAACCCATCTGTACCCCCACCCCTGACATCACACACAAATCCCTTCACTTACTGTTGCCCCCAACACTCCTGGTTCCTGCTTTCAGCACCTTAAAGGATCTGTAACCCCTTTTAGATAAATTTCCCAGGATTCTGTGAAAAGACAAGGTGTCCTTCCGTCAGTATTCCTGGTGAACTCCCCACCTCCAAATTCTTGCCCATCATGCTTTGGGGCCTCAAGCCCCAGACCCCAGCTTTGCCAAGGTTTTTATTGCGCTGCTGTTGAGCCCACACCATGTCTGCTCTGTAGCAACCAGACATGTGGTAAGCCTCCTCAGAACAACAGAAGATCCTAGCTGCTCCAAGTGAATCAAACACTTGGTTCACATGTTGGAGTCATTGTTACATCCTTGTAAAATATGGATTTTTAAAGATATCTGTACAATTGATAGAAATGTAAAAATTTCTTTAAAGAAATGGTAGAAGTAAATATGACAGTTACAGAGCAAGCATCCTTGATTTGCATGCTAATATAACGTTCCACAACACGTATGATTATCTCCCTTCATAACATGCACACAAAACTGTACTTCTGGCAATGCTAAGGTCTCTCCTCTGATAGGACTGGTGTTCAAGGTCATTTTTACACCTCTGTTTTTGTACAGCTTTAAATAAAGAGCTTGTTTTTCAGATTTTAGATCAAAACGATGCTGATGTATCATTGAAACAAGAAAAAACGGAGGTTTCTCTTATGAAAAAAGGTAAATTTCAATTTATATATATTAGCTATAATGTTTGAATTGTTTTCAATATGACTTCTGTGACATATCTTATGTGGGTTATAGATTAGAAGTTTGGCATCAGTTTGGATTTAAAAAAAAATTAAACTTGTTTTTCCAGAAGTGGGAGGCGGGGTGGGTAGAGAGCTGCCAACCTCATGTGTTTTGAAGGGGCAGAGATACTTCCTGCCTGAGAATAGTGTCCCTAACACTGTCCCGATGACTGCGACTTAGACATTTGCTGAGGATTGATATCAGGTCTATAATTTTCAGAATCTATTTTGAAAATTATAATGACACTCCCCAGTTTCCAATCATTTAGCGCTCTTCCTACTTTTCATTATTCCTCTGAGATCACTAAGAGTAGCTCAACAAACACCTTAGTTCCTCCCTGTACTTGAGATGTAATTTGTCTCAGGTGAGAGACTTGAACTTTTTTTAAAACATAAAGTTGCCATCTTATAATGTTCAATCCAAAGACAATTTCCCTGGATAGAGAAGGTAGAAACAAACTGGACTCAGGAAATTTTATTTTCTTAAATAAAATGCAGGGCAGAAGACATCCAAAAAAAATTTTTTTTTAAATTTTCTTAGTGTCTGTTCATTATTATTACTATAACTCTTTTATTATACATTATATTATATTATTATTAAACCTTTCTCTAATTTTATACCACTGGGCCTAAGCAGTAATTCTATTATTTTGTTGTCATTTTCTTATTCTGAAATAAGATTTAAAGCCTTTATTAATCTCATTAGCAAGTCTCAGCTTATTTTGGCTTTATCATTCATAATCTTTTTTGTATTTATTCATGCCATGATTTTGTGTCTACTTTTGGTTGTAAGCTCTCCCTTCCTTCACACTTTGTTGCTTAGGTAACCTAATCAACCATTCATTCACATCTTTATATTTGAACTCATTACTGAGGTCCCTGAGAAATCATACTCTTTCTTTTTTCATCTTAATTAGAATAATTTGCAATTTCACAACCAGGATTTCTTTTGTAAGGATCCCTTAATTTAAAGCCAATCTTCTATAGAAGTTTCAGACTATTAACATGCCTTCAAGTATGTGCCTGTTGGGTTTCCAAATTGTAATGGAAAAATTGTTAATACAATTTTGATCCTAAAATTAATATTTAGTTTCAAACACTCATCCTGGGTTTAGAAGGAACAAATTGTGAAATACTTTCAAATTATGGTAATTATGGATTAGTTGGCTGTTGGGTTAAAAAATTTCACTTTGCAAGTCAGTGAGCAAAATCAACAGTGCCTGAAGTGTGCTTGGAAAACCTCTCTCTAGTCTCTTGTATTTCCTTAAAGGAGACAGGCAGAGCCTCAGCCATTTACCCACTGTGTAAAACTTTCCTTGTTGCTGTCCTATTATTATCCCCCTTGGTCTTCAATGGTCCTAAACTGTGGGCAAGGGTTTACTGGGTGGAAAGCTATTTGGATAGATATCACAAAGAATTCTAGAGAGATAAAAGAAAGGACACATTGACTTACTGCTTGTACTGTGCCCAAACACTTTCAAAGCCAATCCAAGGAGATCAGAGCTTTTCTGCTTCTCTGTGGACTGTCACCAAACCACTAACTTCTCTGAACCTACAGTTCTGAGGTTCTCTGAGTGAGAAAACCAGCTAGATGACTCTAAGTCTCTTCCTGCTTTAAAGTAAGATGCTACTGGAGACACGTTTCCGATTGGGATCTGTCAATGTCTTTGAACCTGAAACCAAAGTGGAACAGGGTAGGATACTAGAGGGAAGACAGATGGTTGTCTGTCCAGAGGCTGGTGAGTGAGGGGAATCTGAACAGTTCCAATAAAGTCACTCCAGGCACAGCAATAGCAAATAATAAGCATCATTAAAATGAAATTACAAAAAAAAGTTACAGAGGCTCTTGGATTATTGAACACACTATATATGCTTTAATAAAAGTTTATTATACATTGCCTTGAGAGCATATTGGTGTAGTTTTACAAAAGGATGTTTGAATACAAAGCCAAATTATATACAAGTAGTTGATGAACTGCTAACAATTCTTTCCAATAACTTTATTGTGTGATCATCAAAAAATGATTGTCTTCATTTTGTCGGTGTTCTTTTGAAGAAAAACAGGAGCTATGCAGTGATACTGCAGAAATAAAGAGAGACTCTTCATTTCTTAACTGGGAAAGGTGAGTGTACTGCAGTTATACAAAATCCAAGTGAGTGAAATTATAGTGCTGAAAAGTAATTATCATTGTTTAAATACAAGAAGAAAGAAAATAATAGTAACAAGCAAAGGCAATTAAGAATGGAACCAAACTTTACAAAGGAGACAAGAAAGAATAGAATACACTAGATTTCTTACCTTTTTCTCCAAACTTTTTCATTTTTTTTGGTGAGGATTTGGGAATAATGAAATGGAACAGGCGTAACATCCTACGCCCGACAAGCAACTAATTCAAATTACTGTAATATAGTCAAAGAATGGAAAATGTCACATGTAGAAAGTATGACTATGAAATCATGAGCCAGTTTTTTGTGTGGTTCATTATCTTATTGTCATACATATATGTAATTATAATAATCACTGCATGCTAGAATTTCCTTGACATGAGACTCTTGTGACTTTTAAAATAACTCAGCTGAATACCCAATAGAATGAAAAGAATGTTTACAAAGAAGCAAGCTCTTACCCTCACTCTACTACAAAACTTTCTAAGCTGCTTTTCAGACATTCAGACCTACTGTCTCTGAATCCAAACCCTCTGCTCTTTTTGCATAGGAGCACATTGAATCAAGTGCAAGAAAAACAGAGAGAGCTTCTATGTCCCTGCACTTGCTGACAGAGTAGTCACTCTAGCACTCAAATCCCATTACTTCACTCTTCTACTCAAAAGCCTTTCATACCCCCATCACTTTTAAGATAAGTTACAAACTCCTTAGCATGGCACAAGTCCCCTTCACTCCTGCCTCTCTCTTTAGCCTGCACTTTGCTTCCCAGAGTTTTTAAATTGCTTATAGTTCTGTTTTATCACGTTTCCATTTCTTGTCCACGCTACTTCCTTTGTTAGAATGCCCTCTGAAACTTGTACACCAGTCCGTTACCTTTCATTCAAGTCTCAATTCGAGTGTTCTCTCCTTTGGGGCCTGACTCTCCGAGGCAAGTTCAAGTATTCACAGAGCCTGTTGCAGTGATCATATTGCATCATAATTCATTCAACTTCAATAATTATTTGTTAAAAAGCAACTATGTTCTGACATACAATGGTGAGCAATGCTTCACAGGCAAGTGGGATTTTCTGTCTGAATATCTGTCTTCCATTGCATTAATCTGCATCGAAGATGGGGGTCATGTCTCTTTTTCTTCATAATTCCAAGCCTCTGAGAGGTCTTTCCTGACCACTCCATCTCAAATAGCCTACCACACTTCTGATAAGGCACACTATCAAATTATACTCTGTTGTATTTTTCTTAGAGCATGCACTTACTACTATTTTAAAGTATCCCATTATCATCTCCTTTTAATGTTATACGTTCTAGCTCACTTATTTTCTATTCTTTATTCCATTGGATGCTAACTCACTCCATGAGAGCAGGGCCTGTATCACTCACCTTTGTGTATTCTTAGTGTCAAGAATAGCACCTGACTAAAAGTTGCTATAATTAATTAATGTTTGTTGACTGAATAAATGATGCAATTTCTCCAGTGCTATTGTTAGTCTGTTATATGGACAATGCTTTACCCTAGAAGTATTTATTAAGATTTGAGTAAAAATTTAAAATCCATCCAAGAAATAAAACACATTGTGTGTATGTGCATGTGATTTTATATATCACTTTTAGGTTTTAATGGGGTTGTGTTTTTTATTATCATCTTTGAATCATAAATACAATATGAATGTTAGAACTACGACCCAATTGAAACAATCAATGAAGAATCTTATCAAACTCATTACTAATGGTAATGAGGATAGAGATGATGATAGTGACAATAAGAATTAGGTACTACTGACTTAGAAATTACTAACAGTAGGCATTGAAGTAAATTCTTTGTATATCTTATTTAATCCTCAACACACCACTGTGAGATAGGCAGTATTATTATTTGGCAGACAAAGAAACAGAGGTTCAGAGAGGCATCTCCGTGCATTGATGTAATAAATTGTACCCTCTATCCCCCACACTAGCATAAATTTCCAGCATCCCAGAAATGGTAAAAAATAAATTTTTAAAGGATTTCTTTAATAAAATTTTATAATACATAATAGTAATAAATAATAAATAATCTCCTTCATATGGAGATTACCATTAATGGACATTCAGACATCATGCAAGTATTCTTTAACAAACAATCAAACATCATAATATTCTTAATCATTTAAATAAAATATCAGCTGAAGTTAAACAGTATAATAAATGCCGAAGAACTGTTGACAGTAGAAGCACATTTCTTTTGGTATGAACTATTATCCAATTTTTAAAAGGCCCATACAGTATAAACATATAAAATTGTCTAGAACTGTCATTTTAATTTATGGTCATTACCATGAGAAGATTAAAAAAAATCTCCTAATACTTGACAAACACAACCCTGTGTGATCTGACCCATACCTACCTACCTACCCAGCTTTGTCTCCCATATGGCATGGCCCCCATCCCTCTTGAACTTTGTTCCCACAATACTAAAAGCTTTGGGTTTCATTAACATACAACACTATTTTATGCATCCTCATTGTGATTTATTTTAAAACATGTATCAGATCACCTCGTTCCCATGCAAGAAACCCTCCCATGATAGTACCCGCTCTGCTTAGAATAAACTCCAGTTCCCGCTCCATGGCCACAAGTGATGGCCTCTCACCTCATTTCTCTCCCTCTACTTCCTGTGTATTCAACCTCAACAGCTCTGGCCTTCTCACTCTTCTTTGAACAGTCCTACCTTGTTATTGTCCCAGGATCATTAGAGTTCACCTGGAACACTCTTCTTCCTCCAGATTTGACTAAATATTTATTTCAAGTTACTTTGCCCCTTTTAAAAAATTTTCTGTATACACCTTTCCCCAGGCTAAAATAGAACTTTAGTTTAAAAGCCTCTTTCAGCAAATAAGAGACAAATGGTATGTGACTACTCTTGTTAAGAATAAATCACTACCAATTCTGTTTAATAGTGAGCACCCAAAAACCTTGAAACAAGATTTCTCAGGAATAAATAATAATTCTTCTACTTGAGAATTGATTTTATTGGGTTGTTGGTAAAGTCATGATGCATTTTTGCAATAAAAAACTAAGAAAAAAATACATCATGACTTTTCTGACAACCCAATATATAATTATATAAATGACAATTTTCAGCATTACATTTATGTCCTTGCTTTCATTTGTTGTGTATTAACATTGCATGTGTCGTGTATTGACATTTCTGAATTTATTAGTATCTAATGTGATTACTACTTTGAAATGATAAATCTCAGCTTGTTTCTTTTGTCTAGTGTGCCAATGGAAGATTTAAATCTAAGTTCTGGATACAAACCCAGAGTTTCTATGAGTGGTGGTTGTAAAGTTGCTTCTTTGCTGACAAAGTCTTCTCAAAGCACATCTGTCAAGGAAAAAGTAAGAAAACTGATGTCTAATTTATGGTATGTATATTTACTAACATATTTCCACATGCTTTGTTGAATTTTCTAACCATTGACGACAACTGATTTTCTTTTTTCCTTACTAAGTGGTAATGTTAACAAGGAAATTCAACAAATGACTTTATGACTTGTCTTCTAACTATACTGATTTAGACATACCATGTGTTAAATGTCCCTTGAAATAGACCTACAGTCACTAACTGCCTATTGTTACACAGTCCGGGAATACGGTGGATGTTAGTCCTCTCTCAAATGGAATAAAGAATTTACTGAATTTGCCTTACTGAATAAATTCCTCCTCCCTCTCTCCCTCACTCCCTCCTTTCCCCTCCCCTCCTTTTCCCTCTCTTCCTCCTCCACCTCCTCCTCCTCCTCCTCCCTCTTCTTCTTCTTCTTCTTCTTCCTCTCTCTCTCTCTCTCTCTCCGGGAATACGGTGGATGTTAGTCCTCTCTCAAATGGAATAAAGAATTTACTGAATTTGCCTTACTGAATAAATTCCTCCTCCCTCTCTCCCTCNAATGTCATTGTAGCTTAAATTTTGTTTTCACTTAAAAGATTAAAAGCTGTAAAACAGTGGTTTTCAAATCAATACACAAAGGCCTACAGAATCACCTCCTCTAGAAACTTGTGTTGAAATGGACAGACGTCATTTTCTCCAGGACAGCCAATACTTGGTAAAGCAGAAAATAGAAATCCTCAAAAAACTTTGAGCTACAGTTTATATAATTTTATTATTGTTATAGTAAAAGAACATGTCTTCTAAGTATAATGTGAACACATATTACACATATGTAAGAATTTGTTTTTATACGTACAAGGAATCGTGTTTTTACATTTTCTTTGATAACTGATGATTTTATTTGTTTAGAAATGTCTGTAACCTTGTACAAAAACAATAAACATTTAATATTTGTGGAATTGTATAATTTTATTTTTATGTACATGCACAGAGTATAAAATTCAGAACATGTGAAGTGGAATATGGTGAAAAGTCTTCATCTAATACTTGTCTTCAGCCACTAAATTACTCTTCTCAAGAGACATGCTTTCACCAGTTACTTGTGAATACATCCAAATACCATCAATGTATATAAAACCGTATAAATAATTTCATAGATATACTCGTAAATATAGATGTAGCAACATGCAAAAGATGCTGTTTCTTTTTCCACTTAATATACCTTCAAGATCATTTCATATCAGGATCAGTATATATAGAGCTCTCTCATTATCTTTAACTGCTCCTTATTATTCCATTCCCTGGACATACCAACATTTATTTAACTATTCTTTTTTCAATGGATATTTACATTTTTCCCATCCTTTTGAATTTACATGCATACAACAGCAGATATTCTTTTAAATATGTTCATTTCACATATGTGCAAGTATACCTGTTAAATATATCTCAGAAGATGAATTGCTGGGTCAAAGGATGTGTAGATTTTATTATTGATAAATATTGCCTAATAGCACTCCATAAAAATTTTATTAACATATACTCCCAGCAATGTATGAGTGCCTGTTTCTTCATATCTTCATCTACCCAGTGAATTATCAAACTTTCTTATCTTGCTGATCAAAATATGAAAAGTGGTTTACCCTTGTAGCTTTAATTTATGTTTCTTATATTATAAGTAAGGTTGAGCATCTCTTCATGTTTAAAATTCATTTGAATTTTTAAATTTGGCCTTTGTCCTTTTTCCTACTTGGTGGTATTTTGTTA